GGTTTTGTTTGTTTGTTTCTCAAACATAGAGCTGCCAAATGCTGTTAAATCAGCTGAGAGAAATCACGGGCATTCAGGACCCTTCCTTCCTTCAAGAAGCTCTGAAGGTTAGTTTCAAGGCTTCTGTTAGTCAAGAGGCTTTAAAACAGTTGTCCATGTTGTGGTTATGTCAGTTCAAGCTATTTTAACGCCTAAATGAAAGTGTATGTAGGGACAGAGCTCTACGGGTCAAATAACCCGGTATCTTCAACATGTAAATGGATGGGGGAGACGTGCAGTGCAGGGAACCCAACAGGGTAAAAGAGGTTTATGAACATATCAACCAATTGCACAGTATAAACTTGGTATGGTTCCTGACTCAAACAAACTAAAGGATATTTGAGTCAGGAACTTTGAAGTAATTTACTTAAAAACTTGATACTTACTGTTAAGGGGTTATAATTTTAAAAAGATACATTCTGAAATGTTGACTGATAAACTGATACGATGCTTAAGATTTGCTTCAAAGTATCTGGGAGAGACTGGCAGAATAGATAAAACAAGATCGACCACCTTGGTACATGGGTTCAATTATACATTCCCTCTACTATTGTAAATGTTAGACAGTTTTCCTAATAAAATATTAGAAACAATTACAAGTGTGCTCACCACTACAGAATATGTTTTAAACACAGTGCCTTACTATCCTGCACCATATTCCCCCGACCCCAGACTTATGCCTAGACTTACTCCGTGTGTCTGCAGGTTGTAAAGAGTTATAACCAAGCAAGAAATTAACGCACTAATTTTAAATGCTGCGATGCTTTACTTGTGAAGTCTTTTCCCCCCTCTCCTTAGGCCAGTAATGGTGACATCACTCTGGCAGTCAGTCTTCTCACAGATGAAAGAGTGAAGGAGCCCAGTCAAGACACTGTTGCTACAGAACCATCTGAAGTAGAGCGGAGTGCTGCCAACAAAGAAGTATTAGCAAGTAAGTACATCCTGTCTTAGTCCTGCTTGGACTCGCAAAAAATAACAGATGAGTGTGTGTGAGTTTTCTGTCTGCCACATCAGCCCTTTGGAAAGAATGGTAATGATAGCTAATGATTAAACCGTTACCATGTGCCAGGCACAATTGTAAGCACTTTTGTGATTCATTCATTCACACTTATTTAATGAGCACCTGCTATGTGCCAAGCACTCTTTCAGGCACTGATGAACAAAATAAACAAGATGAACAAAATGAATAAGAATCCCTGCCTTCATGTTGCTTAGTTTTTCAAGGGGAGACGAACAAATTATATAGCATATCAGAACATGCTAAGTACCATAGAGAAAAAGTAAAGGATGGAATGAAAAAAGTTTTGAGGATTAGATTTGAAATAGGATGAGCCTTTTGAGAATGGGTGAGTAAGTCATGTGAGGCCTTAGCGGGGGAATATACATTGGATTGCTTAAGGAGCAGCAAGGAGGCCAGAGCTGAGGCTTAGTGAGTGAGGAGGGCAATACGAGATGAGGCCGTAGAGAGAACAGGAGGCAGATCATGCAGAGCCTGCATAAGTGCTTGGCTTTCCTCTGAGTTAGATGGCAGCCACTGGAGAATCTGGAGCCGAGGAGCGATGTAAACTGTTCCCATTTTCTAAGGTCACTCTGACTGCTCTGTTGGGTCGTGGGCAATGAGCATGGGTCGGAGCAGGGAGCCCAGGACCAGTGAGGAGGCTAGAGCAGATGGTGTTGGGTGAACTGGGATGTAGTGGTTAAGGAGTGAGAAGTGCTGCTATGTGGGCTTTGCTTACAGAGGAGACAAGGGGTGTGTGAGAGAGGAGGTAAAGGTGACTCCAGGGTTTTTTCCTAAGCAGCTGAAATGATGGAGTTGCACCTATCCAACATGGGAATAACTGTAGGTGGGGCAAATTTGGGGTGGAAGGTGAAGCGATCGGTTTTGGCAATATTAAGTTTGGGTGCCTGTTAGACATTCAGGTGGAGTGTCAGAAAGGCAGTGGAGCCCAGCCGATGTGGCTCAGTGGTTGAGTATTGATCTATGAACCAGG